GATCACGGAAATAACGATGAAGACGATGATGATCATGATCACGATGTTTGAAAGCGTATACGCAGCAATCACTTTGTTAGAACTTCTACGTGATGAGAATATTAACCATTTATGATAATAGCTTAGTTTGATGCTTTAACTGAGTTCCAACATAAAATCAGTCAATCTTCCTCAAAAGTATACCGTCCTTGATTTTCTAGTTATAATTGTTTAGCAGCAAAATGATCAACAACATTCTCTCAAACGTATCTACTTTAGTCTACGTACCTATTAATACTGCCTTTTATCATCGGTTTTTCATCCCAACTAATTTTTTTTTCCTTAATCAGGATATTAGATCGAGGACTCTGCGACATCCGCCATCGACCCTGCATCAGAACTATTGTCTTCGGGGAATACTTCGTGGATTCCAAAAATTTGACCTGTCACATTAACGAGTATATGGTAATGACGGGAAAAAAACAAAGCAAATAAATAAATAACCAATTCTCTCATTTCAATACGTGTGTGATTGTGTTGGGTGTTAGCCAACCTTAAACTTCGATGACAGATGTCCCTATTTTTGTTATAATTACCAATCTCCTTTTCTACCCATTCCAGTTAACTTTACGACATCAGGTTTAAGATAAAATTTATGAACAAGTCCTTGTCATCCTTATATTTTCCTGGTTTTTAAATTTGATTCGTTGAGGACTCGAAGGTGTTGACGAATATACTCGGAAAAACAGTTTTGTTTTCTATTTTATTCGAAATGAGCTTTCAACTAATAATCTTGGGCTTTTCGACAGGTCGTGCCAGGAGCATGGATCCCTTCAAACGACACAAAAAGCCTTCAAGGAAGGCAAACTGACCTTTTTGCCGTTGAATGTCAACTTCCCCCGCCTCCAATAAATATGGGAAACTATGACGTGGAAGGCACTCCAGCAGCAGGATACCGAATAGCTGTTTCCAATGACAAGGCTCGTCACAGTCAATTCTTGGAACTGATTACCTTTGACTCTGTTTGCCAGGAATGCAATATTTCGCACGGCTGTCTTCTCAAGGTATATTCTGTCGTGTCGTTGCCCTTTTAAAAAGCCCCCTACATTTCTCATGATTGACACCTCATGAAGGCATAGGAAATTTTAAAAAGCTAAGTTGATCACAAAACGATTGGTAAAAAACAAGCATAACTTAAATGGAACTTGAATATGTTGAGTATATGTAGCTAGATTACATCATGGTTAATGAGCGCTTACGATCTTTATTCACAAGTTGAGATAGAATGAGCGAGCGAGGTTTCTCTTTGACAAAAGAAGGAATAAAAATCTTTCAAGCGAACTAACCTTGAAGTAATTTGTGTATTTATTTCAAAAGTACTGAGATCTATGACAAAATATGACAATTTTATCATGAATCACGTCTAGCGAAATCAACACCCCGCTACAAGATGCAAAATGGACGCTTTTATTTCGAACAAACTAAATCGACAAGAGAGCTTTATTCAAGATATAAGTAAACAGTTATTATTTAAAATGATTTTAAAATGACACGAACTGGAAATTCTTATTTTGAAAGCTGATGGAAAATAAAATAAAAAGTGCACACAATTATTAGCTTAGTTTTGTAATGACTGTTTCGTGAACGCGACTCACTTATCGCAAATACGAGTCGAAATGCTTTCTAATCAGAGTAAGAAGTTAAAACTTGAAGTCTTTTGTACCGTTTTGGAGGAGCTTTCTTAGTTTTAGTTTCCTAGATTGCTATTGTCAGGGGTTCATCCAGGCTATTAATGGAGATGCTAAAGTGCCCTTCATGACTTAATTACAGCGCCTTTGTCATTGTCTTCCTTGATGAACTTACTTAATTCTTTTAAAACCTAAAAGCCATGAGTCTGGGCAAGCAGCAAACGTTGCTGACATTCACTTTCATCTACTTTAGCGGGTCGCAGCGTCACAAAATGCGGGGAATCCAATACGACTGCTTTTACCGATGAAAAATTTCCTCTGCATGCTGTGATCGTTCAAACGATTATTTCTCACTTGTGAGAAAAACAGTCCGACCAATTAGAACTCGTACAGTTTATAGCGAATCATTTTTATTTGAAATTTTACTGGGAAAAAAAAATTTCGTGAAAAAAAAAAAAAATTATTTATACGGCTCCTTCTTCAGTGGTTCAAAAGCTCTTCAAGCCTTTCTCTTGTTGATAAGTCGTCATATTTACACTTATATCTCTTCCTTCATACAAGGAAATCTCATAAACTTCCTTTTATGTTCACATACTGTAGAGAGATTCATGTTTGATCAGAGGACACTGTTTCGCCGAGGAGGCACCTAACCCTAACGACTGGTGTCAACAGTGCAATATATCGGTTAACCAGATGAGTTGGACAAGACGAATGAGTAAGTTGCCTGTTAAATTACAGTTTCGAGATGCTTTTTTCAAGTCTCTGACTCGCACTCACCTTAAGGGTTTACACGTGATCTGTAAACAATGGCTTCTATTTGGCGCGAAAATATGCACCAATGTTTGTTCGCGGACTTTATCTGGTTCAAGATGCAAACAGTATTTTGAGAGCGAAGCCCAAGGAAACCTGTGAGGTTCGAGAATAGATAATATCCAAATATAAATTTAAGAGCCTATTTTTGTACAAAATAGAGGCCATTATGTTTAGTATCCTTCAAATATCTTGTCACGCGCTTGAAAATGTTAATGAGCAGCTTAGCGTTTGCTTCGTGAGATGTTTTCATTTAATTGTTGTCTGGTACTACTTTATGAAGAAAAAAATATTCCTTTCTTCTTTAAAAATTATAAAACACTCACACATCTTTGATTAAATTTTAAACGAAGAATATTACTAGCGTTATATCCTCGGATATCCCCCAGTTTTAGATCGTGATGCATTTAGACCCAATATTTGATTGATCATAACCACATTTTTGATAAAACTGACTATTCTTTGAAAACAGTTTTCCTCTCGTTTTGCCAAGTGGAAGGTGTTGTTCTTTAGTTTCTTCAATTTGATTCTCTGGTAAATATACAATGACAAAATGACAGAAATAATGCCATTGCCATTTCTGATGTAATTGACGATGAAAAGAACGATGACGATGACGATGACGATAATGATGACAGTAACAGTACCGGTAACAGCAACAATGACAGTGACATTGACAGTGACAGAGACAATGAAAATGAGGATGACGGTGACAGTAAAAGATTACTCCTGAAAAATGATTCGCCTCACTCTCAGTGAATACCTAGTTATATTGTGGAACAAGGAAAAAATGCGGGCGGCAAGGAAAACAATTTTTGGCCGCACCAGAATATCCACAGCTTTTCTTTTCTTTCTTTTTTTCCGTTTCTTCTTTAGAAATCCGAATTTTCGTTTGTCACAAAGACCACATAATTGGCTTCGTTGATTATTTTTGTCTTTCGCGCGCACGCCCTATGCAATAGATACTATGCTTGGATAAGGCCATAGCAGGTACTTCTAAAGGTCGGCACACACGAGGGAACTAGTCCCTGCGAATAGTCCCCTGAAGAGTTTACACTTAGGGACTGATCTCAGGGACTAGTCCCTAGAAGTGTTTACACGCGGGGACGAATTGCACAGGAAAGTAGCAAAAACTGGGGGGCAAACGGTATCATTCTTACATTCTGCAACTTTGTTAAGAAACCAAAATTATTAAAGTAGCAATGTAGCGTTGAAATAAATCAGCTCAGCACAAACCGCAGATTTTTCAGCGAAATTATTCAGTGCTTGAATTGTTTCTGATTCAGTTCGGATATAAGCGGAAAATATCACTTTTTTACCGATCAGCTGCGGTCAACACAGAAACAAAAAACACTTGAGTTATCAAACTTTGCGACTAGAGGAGAAAGCACCTTGTTGGTTTTGCTTTTGCTGCTTTTATCTTCGTGATTTTTGTCCCAGAACTGTCGATATTTTTATAAAAGTCGATCAGCATTCTGATGGAACTGACGCTTCAAGCATCGTCTTCCTTGTGATCCGCCATCTTGAAACAGAATTCGTAAGGAGTTGTGTAATACCGATCTGTGATTGGTTTATTTTAATTTGGTCGCAGGGACCTGTGCCCACGAACAGTTCACACGAAGCAATTTTAAGAACAAGTCGGAGGAACTTGTCCCAAAAATTCAAACCAGATTGAATTCGTGGGATTAGTCGCAAGGACAAAATTTTAGTATCTACGTCTAGATTTTGTCGCAAGGAATAATCCCCTCGTGCATGCCGACCTTAAAACTAGAGGCCAAAACACTGGAAAATGAAACCGTGTTGAAATAAATCAAGAAAATACTGCGGAGATCGCAAAAAAAAGGGCCGGTATCAAATAATGAATCATAGAATAATGTGTAAATGATACTATATGTATTTAAAATTCATTGTTATCGATAAAAGTTTTCGATCTTTGCATTATACCGCTACCGCTGCAGCTTCTGCTTCTGCTGCAACTGCTTCTGCTGCGGCTGCTGCTGCTGCGGCTGCTGCTGCTGCGGCTGCTGCTGCGGCTGCTGCTGCGGCTGCTGCTGCGGCTGCTGCTGCGGCGGCTGCTACTGCTGCTGCTATAATCATTACTTCCACTGCTGCTGTGGTCGCCGCTGCTGCTCTCTCTTTGTTTCTACTACTTAGAAATTGATTGCTCACACACATTTTCATTCATGTTTTAGTTAATTTTCCTCCCAACATAACTACGCCGAGAAAGAGATTTGCGCTCCTAGGAGAGAATCTGCATCTTCAACTGGAAGGGGAAGACCCTGAAAGCAGGCCTTTCGTGATATCGTTACTGGCTGGCAGTCCTGCGAAGGCAAAGATTTCTGATAAAGGTGTTCTGTTTTGGAAACCTGAAACACCTAAAACCGAGCTGTTCTTTTTAAAAGCCACAGACGAGTGTAACGCCTCATCAACCTTTGACTTGACGATAGAAATCGTTGCCTGTCCTTGCACCAATGAAGGGACATGTAAACCGGACGTCAATTATCCAAGAGGTTCAGGGATGTACTTTTGTGAATGTCAGCCAGGCTACGAGGGACAAAGATGCGAAAAGGAGATCAACGAGTGTCTATCGTCTCCGTGCATTTACGGTTTGTCGTTTCGATCACTTTTGTAAAGATTTCAAAAATTTGTGTTAGCCTTGACTTAGTAATCAAGTAATCAATCAGGCAGAAAGTAAAAATACTTAAGCTTCTAGTAAGCTGGCATTATTATGATTATCATAAATAAGTATCTGAATGTTGATTCAATATTAACCCACTTTTGCATGTTTTATGTAACGATTCCGGAAAGGGCCGCCTTTAACCTGCTTTATTTTTATTTTGCTTCTTTGTTTTTTTTCTTTTCGTTAATTTCGTGGCGGGTTTAAGCTATTCTTTAAGCATATTTTTCTTTTTTATCAGGAAATTGTAGTGACGCGGTGAATAACTATAGCTGTCAGTGTGAGCCGGGATACACTGGCTACAACTGCAGCATAGACATCGACGAGTGTCAGTCATCTCCTTGCATACACGGTAAATCTGTTCGTCATTTTGCTATCGATATTTAGAAAATTTTCTTGGATAGAAATAATAATTTATCATCTTATTCCCCTCTTACTTTCAATTTAGGTAACTGTTCCGACCTGGTAAATAGCTTTAAGTGTACTTGTCAATCGGGCTTCATTGGTATCCGATGTGAAATTAACATTGATGATTGTCCACCTTCATGTGGAAATGGTAAGTCTATCTTTAAAACTTGCCGTAGACAATATCACGTGCTAAATAGATACCTGTACTTTCAAATCATTCAGCTGCAGGTAATTCCGTGTTTTCACTATAAAAGGAATAAATAAATCAAAACGGCTCTTTGAGATATGATTAATGTTAGCCCTTTTCGATTTCACTTAAATGTCTACTCTTAGAGCGTTCAAGTTAATTTCTCACGTCCTTTGGACAAGCATGAGATAGAAAGTGAATTATGCAGGTCTCAAACGCAGCATTCAGGTTGTTCTCTGACCATGGTCAAGAACACCTAGTGAAATGTTACGATAGGTGATTCCAGGTCCTCTATAATCGCTTCAAAATTCATTGTTTGACTAGTGTTGTCTCACCTTGATTAACGAATTTCAGTAGAATTTCTCATACGAGAAGGTATAGATACTGATTTTAACTGTCATAATGTGTAACATAATTTGCTCTATTTTTAACCGCAAGAGATTTGGGGAGTAATAATGACTGAAAAAGAGGTTCCTGAAGGAAAAAGGGCATGATCAACTGTCAACTAGCAATGTTGTAACTGGCATTACCTTCCTTTTTTCAGGAACTTGCGTCGATCTTTTGAACAACTACACTTGCCAATGTAATGCTGGCTTTGCGGGCCAACATTGTGATGTGATCATTCGAAATTGCAGTGAAACGTCATGCTTTCCAGGAGTTCGCTGTATCCAAAAAACCAACACAATATTATGTGAATCTTGCCCGCGTGGATTTAATGGAGACGGAAAAAATTGCGAAGGTTTTGTAATAAAAGCAGTGGCATGGGATGATCATTTTTATTTAGATGTTAATCCACAAAGAAACGCACTCTATGCTTATTTAAATTTTTTATATGAGATGAGATAAGACGGTCTTATCGTGATTAACATAATCATTATCTCATATATATCTCATACTATATCATCGTCATTATCACTTCGCTATCATTGTGATTACTATTGTCTATCATTTCTTAATGAATATTTATCATTCTAAGTATTCGTTGTTGCTGTAGCATTTGTGCATAAAGACATAATTTCGTGTTTGAGGCGAAGCTGATGCTGAAGTCTTAATGGCGGCCGCTCACCAATTGCCCACAATTACTATTTAAAACTAAACATGCTCGCAAACTGAAACAAGTTTGCTTTAAAATAGACGTCCAAATCTGATCAGTGCTGAACATGAAGTTAACTTATTATACTTACGTTCGATGTAGAGCCTCTACATCACTGAGTGATTGATTGCAATCTATACCATGCACCCTCTGTATTCGTCCATTGGAGGGGCAAGGGAGAGGAAAGATTTTAAATTTTGTCCAATAACGGGCCCTTCGATATAGGGATACATTAGATCGTGCCGGGAACTGAGTCTGATACGTTCAATCCATGAGCTTCCTCAACGAACCGATGTAAATAACCAAACAGGAATAACCTTCCTAGCTAGCGATAAATTTCTACTAACTTACTCGAAGTTGTGATGAACTGCCCACATGCAGGGATACTTTACTCTTTCTTTGTTTTTGTTTGTATTTCTGTTGTTTTATCAGTTTTTTTATTATTCTTGTTTTTTGTGTTGTTTGTTGTTATTCTTTTGCTTTTTATTCGTTTGTTCTTTTCCTTTTCCAACACACATAGCACGCAGTTGTACGGGTCATCATCATTGTCGATTTAGGTTTTGCAGCACTGAATAACACTAATTATAGTTGGGTCCAAGACATCGCATCAAAAGAAATGAACTAATTTGTTTCATAATTATTTAATTTTAGAGAATAATGAATTATTAAGATGCCTTTACGTAATGTAAACTCACAGGAAAACTATTCTTTCCTGTCAGATATTGATGATTGTGCTAATGTGACTTGCCAAAATGATGGAACCTGCGTTGATGGAGTAAATAATTTTACTTGCTCTTGTCCAGTGGGATACAATGGGGATTTTTGTGAAACAGGTAGCCTCAATAGAAGACGATTATGCTATTTCAGGTCTTAAAGGGCCACCCGAAAAGGTAAAAATTACAACCAATACTCTCCTTGACGAAGGAAAAAACTAACTGTTGATCACTGAGTATTCAAAATAATTTCACAACACAGTCTTACAAAAGTATACCTTCCTGTTTTTGTTTTTCTCGCCTCTTAATAGTTTTTTTTTTTCTTGTGAAATGTAAAATTATCGTACCTTTCTGGAGAATAGAAAGATAATTCTCGTAAGCTGAAGACTTTCGAAGTCAAGTTTTTCGACGAGTCACTAGACAAGAGTGGAATCAGCTACTCGCAGCTCAAATTGTCAGAAGACAAATTTAGCTGGAGTAGTTATGTACTTGAATATAACTGCACATCTACATACACCCTAAGAAATAGCCTGAAAGAAACCAGTCAAATAAACTCACGGGGAAACTATTCTTTCCTTCTCAGATATTGACGATGGTGCTAATGTGACTTGCCGAAATGGTGGGACCTGCGTTGATGGAGTAAATAATTATACTTGCTCTTGTCCAGTGGGATACAGTGGGGATTTTTGTGAAACAGGTAGCCTCAATAGAAGACGATTATGCTATTTCAGTTTTCAAAGGGCGGACTGCAAATGTGTAAATTACAACTAACACTCTCTTTGACATAGAAAAAAATAACTGTGGATCGCTGAGTACTCAAAATAATTTCATAACATCGTCTTACAAAAGTATGCCTTCCTGTCTTTTTTTTTTTCCTCGTTTCCTTTTAATTGTTGTTGTTCTTTTTTTTCTTGTAAAATGAAAAATTCTCATACCTTTCTGGAGTAAAGAAAGATAGTTCTCGTGAGCTGAAGACTTTTGAACTCAAGTTTTTCGATGAGCCTCTGGCCAAGAGTTGAATCAACTACTCGCGGCTCAAATTGTTAGAAGAAAAATTTAGCTGGAGAAGTTATGACATTGAAGATAACTACACATGTACATACACCCTAAGAAATAGCTTGAATGAAATCAGTATGGCATGAAATGAACTAATTTCTTGCACCACCATTTAGTTTTAGAGAATAACGAATGATTGAGGTGTACTGAACGTCATGTAAACTTACAAGAAAACTATTCTTTCCTTCTCAGATATTGATGATTGTGCTAATGTGACTTGCCGAAATGATGGAACCTGCGTTGATGGAGTAAATAATTTTACTTGCTCTTGTCTAGTGGGATACAATGGGGATTTTTGTGAAACAGGTAGCCCCAATAGAAGACGATTATGCTATTTCAGGTCTTAAAGGGCGGACCGAAAATGTAAAAAATTACAACTAATACTCTCTTTGACGAAGGAAAAAAACTAACTGTTGATCACTGAGTATTAAAAATAATTTCACAACACAGTCTTACAAAAGTATGCCCTCCTTTTTTTTTTTTTTTTTTTTCTCGTCTCTTAATAATTGTTCTTTTTTTTTTCGTGTGAAATGGAAAATTCTCATACCTTTCTGGAGAAAAGAAAGATAGTTCTCGTGAGCTGAAGACTTTCGAAGTCAAGTTTTTCGACGAGCCTTTAGACAAGAGTTGAGTCAACTACTCGCAGCTCAAACTGTCAGAAGACAAATTTAGCTGGAGAAGTTATGTACTTTAATATAACTGCACATTTACATACACACTAAGAAATAGCCTGAAAGAAATCAGTTATGTAAACTTACGGGAAAACTATTCTTTCCTTCTCAGATATTGATGATTGTGCTAATGTGACTTGCCGAAATGATGGAACCTGCGTTGATGGAGTAAATAATTATACTTGCTCTTGTCCAGTGGGATACAATGGGGATTTTTGTGAAACAGGTAGCCCCAATAGAAGACGATTACGCTATTTCAGGTCTTAAAAGGCGGACTGAAAATGTGTAAATTACAACTAATACTCTCCTTGACGTAAAAAAAACTAACTGTTGATCACTGAGTATTCAAAATAATTTCACAACACAGTCTTACAAAAGTATACCTTCCTGTTTTTTTTTTTTTTTTTTCTCGCCTCTTAATAGTTTTTTTCTTCTTGTGAAATGTAAAATTATCATACCTGTCTGGAGAATAGAAAGATAATTCTCGTAAGCTGAAGACTTTCGAAGTCAAGTTTTTCGACGAGTCACTAGACAAGAGTTGAATCAACTACTCGCAGCTCAAATTGTCAGAAGACAAATTTAGCTGGAGTAGTTATGTACTTGAATATAACTGCACATTTACATACACCCTAAGAAATAGCCTGAAAGAAATCAGTCAAATAAACTCACGGGGAAACTATTCTTTCCTTCTCAGATATTGACGATTGTGCTAATGTGACTTGCCGAAATGGTGGGACCTGCGTTGATGGAGTAAATAATTATACTTGCTCTTGTCCAGTGGGATACAATGGGGATTTTTGTGAAACAGGTAGCCTCAATAGAAGACGATTATGCTATTTCAGTTTTCAAAGGGCGGACCGAAAATGTAAAAAATTACAACTAATACTCTCTTTGACGAAGGAAAAAACTAACTGTTGATCACTGAGTATTAAAAATAATTTCACAACACAGTCTTACAAAAGTATGCCTTCCTGTCTTTTTTTGTTTTTCCTCGTTTCCTTTTAATTGTTGTTGTTCTTTTTTTTCTTGTAAAATGAAAAATTCTCATACCTTTCTGGAGAAAAGAAAGATAGTTCTCGTGAGCTGAAGACTTTTGAACTCAAGTCTTTCGATGAGCCTCTGGCCAAGAGTTGAATCAACTACTCGCGGCTCAAATTGTTAGAAGAAAAATTTAGCTGGAGAAGTTATGACATTGAAGATAACTACACATGTACACACACCCTAAGAAATAGCTTGAATGAAATCAGTATGGCATGAAATGAACTAATTTCTTGCACCACCATTTAGTTTTAGAAAATAACGAATGATTGAGGTGTACTGAACGTCATGTAAACTTACAAGAAAACTATTCTTTCCTTCTCAGATATTGATGATTGTGCTAATGTGACTTGCCGAAATGGTGGGACCTGCTTTGATGGAGTAAATAATTTTACTTGCTCTTGTCCAGTGGGATACAATGGGGATTTTTGTGAAACAGGTAGCCCCAATAGAAGACGATTATGCTATTTCAGGTCTTAAAGGGCGGACCGAAAATGTAAAAAATTACAACTAATACTCTCTTTGACGAAGGAAAAAACTAACTGTTGATCACTGAGTATTAAAAATAATTTCACAACACAGTCTTACAAAAGTATGCCTTCCTGTTATGTTTTTTTTTTTTGGCTCTTAATAATTGTTCTTTTTTTTCTCGTGTGAAATGGAAAATTCTCATACCTTTCTGGAGAAAAGAAAGATAGTTCTCGTGAGCTGAAGACTTTCGAAGTCAAGTTTTTCGACGAGCCTTTAGACAAGAGTTGAGTCAACTACTCGCAGCTCAAACTGTCAGAAGACAAATTTAGCTGGAGAAGTTATGTACTTTAATATAACTGCACATTTACATACACACTAAGAAATAGCCTGAAAGAAATCAGTTATGTAAACTTACGGGAAAACTATTCTTTCCTTCTCAGATATTGATGATTGTGCTAATGTGACTTGCCGAAATGATGGAACCTGCGTTGATGGAGTAAATAATTATACTTGCTCTTGTCCAGTGGGATACAATGGGGATTTTTGTGAAACAGGTAGCCCCAATAGAAGACGATTATGCTATTTCAGGTCTTAACGGGCGGACCGAAAATGTAAAAATTACAACTAATACTCTCTTTGACGAACGAAAAAACTAACTGTTGATCACTGAGTATTAAAAATAATTTGAAAACACAGTCTTACGAAAGTATACCTTCCTGTTTTTTTTTTCTCGTTTCTTTATGATTGTTTGATTGTTTTTTTCTTCTTGTGAAATTTAAAATTATCATACCTTTCAGAAGAATAGAAAGATAGTTTTTGTGAGCTGAAGACTTTCGAACTCAAGTTTTTCGACGAGCCCTTAGACAAGAGTTACATCAACTACTCGCCGCTAAAATTGTCAGAAGACAAATTTAGCTGGAGTAGTTATGTACTTGAATATAACTGCACATTTACATACATCCTAAGAAATAGCCTGAAAGAAATCAGTCATGTAACCTCACGGGAAAATTATTCTTTCCTTCTCAGATATTGATGATTGTGCTAATGTGACTTGCCGAAATGGTGGGACCTGCGTTGATGGAGCAAATAATTATACATGCTATTGTCCAGTGGGATACAATGGGGATTTTTGTGAAACAGGTAGCCCCAATAGAAGACGATTATGCTATTTTACGGACTGAAAATGTGTAAATTACAACTAATACTCTCCTTGACGTAAAAAACTGTTGATCACTGAGTACTCAAAATAATTTCACAACACAGTCTTACAAAAGTATGCCTTCCTGTTTTTTTTTTCTCGTTTCTTTTTAATTGTTTTTTTTTTCCTTGTGAAAATTCTCATACCTTTCTGGAGAAAAGAAAGATAGTTCTCGTGAGCTGAAGACTTTCGAACTCAAGTCTTTCGACGACCCTCTGGCCAAGAGTTGAATCAACTACTTGCATCATAAATTTCAGAAGAAAAATTTAGCTGGGGAAGTTATGGCTTAGAATATAACTTCACTTGTACCAGTACACCCCAAGAAATAGCCTGAATGAAATTAGCATGGTACGACAACATCGTCAGTTTAGTAAACCCGTCCATTTGTAAAGTGCTTTGTTTTACAAAGTTGCAAACGATAAAGAACCTGGAGCAATTTCACTTTCCTCAATGGTGGTTTTAAGAGCAAAATTTGAACCTTAAGAGAATTTGACTTTACTTCTTTCGAAATCCTATTTTGAATGACGAGCAATACATGTGCAATTGTTCGCCAAGTTCTTAGTCTATGTACATTAACTATGATCATCGAACATCTTGAACAGTAAAAGAAAAACACTAAGATAAGGATTGGTGCGATAAATCTTCTCGAATATCGTAAAACCAAAAGATACCTTTTATATGCACGGTGACCCATAGAGGACATGCCACAATTTTTTTATCGCGCGATAGAATTAAAATATCGCGCGATAAATGGGAAACTTGTTTGGTGGTATGTGACCGGCTGTCACGCATGTTGTTTCCGTGGACGAGATGAGAATGGCTGCGGCAGTTGGAAGTTCTATCTTAGTCTAGAAATTTTACAAACCTGCAATAATTATGTAATCAGAAAGATTAGATAATCCACACTTGTTCTCAGACACTGACAGCCATCTCCGAAAGTGTCTCGTAAGATTTCGCAAAACCAAGGTTTACAGCACTGATTCACAGAGCTGTTCGTTGTGGAAGTATTGCAAAGTACTACTCAATGATCTTTCCACGAAAATAAAACAAATTATTGACCTCAAAACATACCTCCTCAATTGTTGCAGCCTTTGTTGTTCACGGAAATAACATGGGTGACATCCGATCACGTGGGACCTACTAAGTTTCCCATTTATCGCACGATAAATTTCATTATCGCGCGATATTTTGATTTTATCGCACGATTAATTTCATTGATCGCACGATAGAAAAAATTTGGCATTTCCTCTATGGGCCACCGTAAAATGCTTTCTTATTTGTTGTTTCGAATATACAACTTTCAAGTATTAAACTCGTAACTAATGCTTATAATAAACTGTAATCACACGATCGTTTGCAGATAAAGTCTAAGGTGAACGCGTTTAACAGGACACATAAAACCTTTCTCATTTTTGGTAAAACTAACAATTTTGAAAGGATTTTGAAGCTATACGGGATAGAATTGTAGAGCAATCTTCAGGGTTCCATCATCGTATACTTCCTTTACATGTATCTAAATATATTTTAATCTAATGTACGGCCAACCGTCGATTGTACGCATCATCATCACCGTCGATCTAAGTTTAGCAGCACTGAACATCAAAAATTATAGTTGGGTCTCAGACATACCATCAAAAGTGGAATGAGCCAATTTCTTTGGCCGTCATTTAATTTTACAGAGTGACAAATTATTAGGGCGTCCTTAACGTCGTCATGTAAACTTACAGGAAAACTCTTCTTTCCTTCTCAGATATTGACGATTGTGCTAATGTGATTTGCCGAAATGGTGGGACCTGCGTTGATGGAGTAAATAATTTTATTTGCTCTTGTCCAATTGGATACAGTGGGGTTTTTTGTGAAAAAGGTAGCCCCGATAGAACACAATTATACTATTTTAGGTCTAAAACGGACTTATTTTTTGTTTCTAATATACAACTTTCAATCATTAAACTCGTTAATAAAGTGTATGACAAAGGTAATCATGCGATCGTTTGCGGAAAAAGTCCAAGGTGGACGCATTTAATATCGTGTACTTTCCTGTTATATATTTTAAACTTTATCTTATGCATGGCCAATTCTAGAGATTCTCACTACCGTGGCAACGGAAGGAACATCCTTGGAAATTTTATCCTCCACCACTAAACCATCCACAGAAACGGTGCCGAATGGAAAAAAGCCAGGTATTTAATTACATGACTTGCTTCCCTATTTATCACTTTTAGGATATGATGAGGTGTCCGTTGACTTTACTTGGAATGCAACACGGTGTGTTGTTAAAACATAATTTGGTTTTATCAACTGTATTGACAACGTAAAGAGTTTCAAAGGTGAAGTTTCGAGTGTTAGCCCTTCGTTAGAGCAAATGGTCATTTGCTCTGACGAAAGGCTAACCTTCGAACCGTCAGCTTTAGGAACTATTTACATTCCCAACTCGGTTGATTAAAACAAATCGTTTTTTTACACTAACTCACCGACGGCAGCACCACAGTTTCTTTAGAAAGTTACCCCCTTTACTCATATTGTTTTGTAAACCGAACTATTTATGATGCATGTATGATGCTTCGTTATATGACCCAAAGCGTGTGGCTAAAAGAACCATACGGCGCCGAGAACAAAACATACTGTTTGCTTCGCACCTCTGTGTGAGTATCAAAACTTCCCTACCTTAAAATTGCCTTTGTTTTCATCAGTCCGCCCACATTCGGTTTGGCCTTTGAAGAGCTCGCACTTAGCTCTTGAACAGGGTGAAGCGTCTTCATAAGTGGGAATTAAAATCGAACTGCATAACGGGTGGTTATAACCTGCTGATTGTAATACCTGATTTTTTCATTGGTAACGCAGATTTTACATTTGAAGTTCGCGTTTTAAAGGAATGGGACGACAAACTAAGGGACAAACACAGCGAAGCCTACAAACAATTATCCACTCTTCTTACGAAAGAGGTTAGCAAAGGAGCGGTTTGTATAGTGATTATAAGCCTTAGAATCGGATGGTTCAACTTTTACGGCATG